AAAAGCTTTAGGGAACTGGATAAACCCGAGAATATGCGTAATTATAGGGGAATGGGCAACCTGTTGCTGTTGGTACCAGTTTTGACTGGGTGCCTAAATAACCTAACGGACAGTTTTGTTTTCATACGATATTAGTCTGGCTGCCGATTTTCCTGCGCCTTTCTCATTTTTAGCGTCAAGCGGAAAATCGCGTCCTCAGCATATTGGATTTAGTTGATATTTTACCTGAAAAAAAGATACATGACCGGCGATGTACCCTATTTGGACAGCTTGTCTAGCGAAAATTAAGTACAAAATAAAAGGATATATCGTCAAATTGAAGAAGTTTCTCATAGTACCCAAATTAAATTTATGGTTTATCTTTGAAAATTAAGCAGTCATTGCTTAAATCATGTGGTGGGATCATCAGCAAGCTTGAATATCGGACAAATGATAATTAATGTCGCGGCGTCTTCAATTAATTAATTAAATTAATGTCGCGGCGTCTTCAATTAATTAATTAAAGCAATTCAGTTCCATATGATGTTTTCATAAATAATATATAATGTACGCAATAAAATTAATAAGTTCTTCATCAAGATATATTTCAGTTGTACCAGCGTGTACACCTATACCGGAAGTGGGTATAACACGTCACAATCTCGGTCTCGTCTGTCTCGCGAGAATGACAGAACGCCAAAATGGCGGCGCCCATGAACTTATTTCTCAAGTAAAAAATAGTGTCTTAAAACACGAATTTCTCTCTTATAGGATTGATGTCAATAGGAAAACTGTCATGGTTCCTCTTTTTAAATGATGAATATTTATATTAGACAGACATCAATCCATCCATTCCTATTCCTTTAAGTTTTTCTTAGTCATATCACCAATGCATTTCTGCTATTTAAATAAGTAAATTTATTTCATAAATATTTAGACAATATAAAAACATTATTATTAATACTAAGTAACTCAAATTAAACAATCAAAACACCTGTAACTTGAGAAGGTCTCTACTAAATGATATTGGGAATAACTAAAACTTGCTTGGTTTCTAGATTAGGCAATAGCATATCAATGTGGAAATGTACATGTATCTCTTATAGTTTTAGAGTTATGTCCATGACAAAGTTCAAAGTGTAAAAATAAACAAAGGGCAATAATTCAAAAATTAGGCAAGGCAGAGTTACGGTTCTTGTGCACTGCACACCTACTCAATGAGATATATCTACCTACAAAGTTTCATGTTGATACCTCTTATAATTTTAGAGTTATGTCCCGGACAAAGTTCAAACTCAAAGTGTAAAATGAACAAAGGGCAATAACTCCAAAAAATGGCAAGACAGAGTTACGGTTCATGTGCACTGCACACCTACTCAATGAGATATATCTACCTACAAAGTTTCATGTTGATACCTCTTTTAGTTTTAGAGTTATGTCCCAGACAAGAAAAGCGATTTTTAAAACTACGGTCCCATGTAAACAGAAAATTTGCTTACACATTGCAGGAATAGTCTGATTTTATTGATCTGCCAATTATGAATACATTTGAGCAATCAATTAAATAGTCGATCCCATTTCGGTTCTGGCTGTGAAGTTTACAAGAACTTACATGGACCTCATAATTAAGGTTTTGAAAGTCGCGTCAACTTAATAAATAGTTTGTTGTCACATCTGCAATAGCATAGTACGTTATTAAAGTGATTGCCTGATATATGAGATGTTTGTAGTTTGATCTCTATTGTTGCTATTGTTTTGACAGTTAACACCTCTTTTTTTTATTTTTGCTGTATATTTTTAAAGAAATGGCCAAGTATTGGCAAAATTGTCTACATGGTTATGATGCAACTTTGTCTTGATTTGTATTGTGTTTTATTGCATTGAAATGACATTAATTGATTTTTTATATAAATGAATTTTAATAACTAATTTAACCATGCTATTTTAAGAGTATAGACTTTACTAAAATGAGAACAAACATATTAAAAACAAACTAACAAGAATAGAAACTAGAAACCTTAATGGCGTAGTTTACCCTAATTAATGCCCTATAATTTAAAGCTTAGTAAAATTTTCACACAAATAAAATCACATCTTACTGCATATTATTAGTATATAAGATTATATATTAAGATTAATATATTGTATGTACTGATCGTATCATCACTCATTGAGTATGCAATCAGGGTCTTTCAAATAGAATGGTCTGGAAACACGCAATGTAAACCCTTCTCGCTACAATTAAACATGTCTCGGTATAAATCAGTATAGTTTACTATACGCAAATTATGTAACTGATAAAGAAAAGGGCGAATATTAAATACAAGAGCAAAAATGAAAATTTTAATGACATGATGTTATTTAAAAATCTTTAAACTTTCGAAAAAAAAGATAAATATTTTAGGAAATGATGTTTTTAAAGCCATCTTTGTTAAAAAAAACCAGATTGTTTGTTCACAATATTTGCCGATAATCGGCGCCATTTTGAAAATGCACCAAATTAAACATCAAATATTTGCAAATAACATCGTGAAATATTATATTATTTTTACATGATACAATCGTATCATAAAGATGTTATTAAATCTAATAACATCTTTTCTCTGTAAAATCAATTTCTATTTTGTCATTTAACAATGCATAAATTAAAAAAAAGCTCATGAAACTCGGACCTATTTTCAAATATGAGCAGTAGATTTTTACCTTGACACCAGGAGCGAAAAATTTCTAGTTTCATTGCAAATCTATAAAATTGTTACTTTTAAAGTAAAAACTGATAATATAATGTAGTCATGAGTTAGTTTTTAGTATCCCCGTACAGCCTCTTTCCAATCAGCTAACAGATTTTTCTACAATAACTGACAGTGAAATTATATGTAAAAAAAAACTCTTTCAATTCTGCGAATATTACCATTTTAGCTAATAAATGCACCAACTTTTTAAAATTTTACCTGAATTATTATTATGAATTGAGGACAAATCATTACTGACCCATTTTCCTGTTCTTCAAAATTTCACAACCACTTTTCAATCAGTTAACAAAATATAAACTGCACCACACAAAAATTGTCATACAATGTTAAAATATAATCAGTTATGTATTATGGAGAAATTTTGACAAACTCAACTTCAGATAAATGGTAATAAACAATTTTAACCTAATAATAATGCCATTTTTCAATCTTGATATCTATTTGCAGTGGTAAAGCTGTCGTAATTGGGGTATGGATGTACATTTCAATTTGCATAACAGAGAAAGCATGTTCTTGAGAAATTTTTAGGATCTTAGGGTCTTAACAGGGCTCTCAGTAGGGTCAGAATTTCACGAGTCAAAGACTCTTTGGCCAAAATTTTCATGAGTCAAATCATTTTTTTCTAGTGTCACTTGACTACATGAATCATTTTTATGTTACAAAAATGACTGTATTGGAGGTCATTTTTGGAGATTCCAAAGTCTAAATTGACAGAAAAAATCCATAATTATAAATGTCTATACCTCCCCCCCCCCCTAAAAAAAAACCAAATAAAACAAAAAAATGAATTGCTGTGAAAGAATAAAATAAGCAGCAGCTTTTCTGATTAAATGTATAAAATATAAAAAAATCATCTTTACTGATATGCTTATCATATTGATTTTAAACATTAAAATGTACCTTGGAATATTTAATGGAAAAAGAAATAACAAATGCACAGGTACTCCAAGTAAATCAAAGACGTATTATAAAACTTTAAAAGCAATCAATAATTGACACCTCAAGTATGTAATTCTTATCAGTTGTGTAGAGCTATTTTTAGCACTGTCAAATTGCAGCCACTGAATTGTCACGCTTCAGTGCACAGGGTATAAACAATGCAGTGTGTAAAGCATTTTATACACGGCTTATACTGCCTGTTGACATTTTTAATGAGTGAGATTTGAACATATGTAGGATTTGATAGGTAATTAGGGGTGGATTAAAGGTAATTATTTTTGCATAGCTGAAAATCCCATGTGGCAAATTGACTCTTGAGCAGATTTTATCACGTGTCAATTTTGTGCATTTCCCGATTTTCACGAGTCAAAACCCGGATCCCCGTGTCAATCGAGAGCCCTGGGTCTATATGACTCCATTCTAGTGAAAGCTTACTGAAAAGTTATCAGAGAGAATGTTTTCCTTGGTTAAGTCAATAAGTGAATGTTACTTTACTGACGTATTACCTTTAAAATAAGAATTGTATGGTAAAACATGTACATATTAAAATAATAGCTTTCGAAGTGCAGTAGACATAATCATAATGACTTCATGATATTGAAACAGTTGTCCAACTTAATATCCATTTCCGCAGAATGACAAAAAACTGAGTCTGTAAGTCAATTATTTTTAGAAAATTATTGCGATTTGTAACTGGGTAAATAAAGGATTAGTGCAAAACATACATTTTACATATTTTGAACTAAAATGCTAGCATTTTCGTTTTTATCGCCATAATTGACATTGCTGCTAATAAATGTAGTCAAGGTGAATACAAGATGTGCTTACAGTTTGGTAACATGACAAATAAGGTCAAAAATAAAAAAAATTCTAGGGATGATTGAAAAGTGGTTGTGATTGAAAACTGGCAGTATGTGGATAATTTTTGGATTGATTTAACAAAACATTATCTTATAATTTGATTTTTGAATGGTGATGTGCTATTCCATATCACGGTCGGTAGATAACCCGTGACTCAACCGAGACAGCATTTTTCGTAAAATTGGTCTGTCTCCAGACCATTCTATTTGAAAGACCCTGATGCAATTGACACTGATTGACAAGACTTTATGACAAACAAGTTAATAAAATGGAACAATAACAGAACCGATTTTTCCGACTATTAATTGTCAAACTTTAAAAAAATACTATCTATCTTCCAAAATGGGTTTATCTAATATTTAACACCCTGACTTCCAAGTATGTTAAAAAAGATGTACTGTTCATACCCCACCCACAATATATTGCAGAAGATAATGTAAACAAAGCAGCATTTAAAATCATACATACAACTCGACCATCCATTCGCCTTGCAGAATATCTTGCCATGTGTCTTCTGTAAGTTGAATTGCTCTAGGTTGATAATTTGAACAATCAATTGAATAAAATGACGCGAAAAAGCAAAGAAAACTGAAAATGCATGTCAAACCCGCCATGTTGAAAACAGGAAGTAAAATATTGTGCCGTGCTTTACCGTACAAGTTTCGACATCCAATCAAATCCGCGACGTGACAAAAGCGGAATTTCACGACAATCTATACACGTGGATTATACCGGGTGGTTTACAAGATAATTGAATTATCAACTTATTGTCAGGTGTAACAACTTAAGTGTCAAACAGCAATAAAACAATAATGTATATTACCAATGCATATCTGTTATTGTATTGACAAACACTTTGAATTATTAAAAAGAAACGGTCATATATGTATGTCTTAATCTATATCTAGATCTATACTCATTATGTAATTTATGATACCTGAAAATTGCAATTTTGATCATAGCTGGGACAAAAAGATACATTATCTTCTGTCCCAGATCATAGCTAGGCTTATCTGAGCTAAAACAAAATTTATGAGGCCTAATTAATGTCTTCGGAATGAAAATGAAACAGAAATTTTTATTGACCATATAATACGAGACCAGGGGCATATAACTTTTTATTATATGATCTAAATATTTATTTGTTCTTTATGGCATATTTCTTGATTAAAATATCATTATTTACTATTATAATTAAAGGCTACACCGCAATGATGAGTATAAACTTGAATTATTTTTGTATGCGCAGCGTTCGCGTAGTCGTTGCACGCCTTACACGTGCGTCTTGTTTTCCCGCGTTTCAGGGAGGCAAAATTTGTACATGTACATGTAAGGTTTTACTTTTCATATAATAAAACAATTATTGACCAGTGAGCCATTGAATATAATTATGTGATATTCACCGGCAGAAAGTCATATTGACCTCGGCGTTATGAATATCACATCATATTCAATGGCTCACTAGTCAATAATTGTAAAATATAACACAACATAGTACTTATGCACTTCCGATTTCTTCTTTATACATATTCATCATGTGTCATATGAATATGACTTTGATCTGGACCCTCCATAAGAAAATGGAAACTGCTTGTTAAATTATTGCTTCTGGTGCCTTTTAGGTGCACAATTAAAATTCAAGTTTCTTCATAGAAGCTGTGGTTTTAATCTAGTCGATCTCTGAAAAGAAATTCATATAAAATGGGAGATAATGATGCAATTTACCGCGCGCAAAACACACACACAAACGCCACACACGCACGCACGCACGCGCGCACGCCAGAAAAGTTCAAAACGCATGCAAGAATCTTAATTAATGTTAGTTTTTCTTTGAATTCGGGAATCGCCATTCGTTACATAATTCAAGATAGACGTTTCTACATTTTCAGGCGCCTCGTCCAGCTTGACAGTTGTGTACTTGTCCAATAGATCGGTTAGCACATACTTCACCCCTACTAAACAGTGGCTATTTCACATTTTGGTTAGCCTTTTAAATAAGAGCACTCGACACTTCTAGTCCGTTTTAGAGACATCGACCAAAACAAAGCTGAAAAAGGTAAAGATATTCGTTTTTAAAGAATTTTTTTTTCAGAAATCGAAGAATGCTATGCCATGTAGAACATTTTGCTCATCATGTTGGATGCAGTTTCTATATGAAATATTCCAGAAGGTCGTTGCTAGAACTTGTGCCAAATATTGACTTTTGTGTTTTCGTTCACGAGAAGACATATTTTGAGTGATTTGTCTACCATGAAGTTAATGTTTATTCATTTAATCTTGCATACAACTTTCTTCCAACCTCTCCTTTGGCTCAACACAAAAATACTTTAAAGAGCTTTGCTAAAAATATAATACTATGTGATCGAACCATTGCCATCGGCATTGTGAAAGATCCCTTGCATATGTAAACGTAAAGGAGACAACACGACCTTTCATTGATGATAGCGTGGAATTATGGCGATTAATATGGATGAATAGACTAAATGAGAATCTCCAAATTAATTGAGATAAAATCGACATACATGTAATTCCAAAATATTGGCCCTTATTGACTGGTCACGTTGTTTCCGTTACATATGAAAGGGCCTTTTCACAAATCATGCCAAGAATTGCACAAAGACATCGATTTTCAACTTATGTGTAGTTCTGAGTATATTTCTTTATTACAGAAAGCCACTTTGGATTTATCAGAGCATAGTTCAGCCACCGTATGGTTCCGGTGCAAGCTTTCGAGCAATTTACCAGTATTAGATGTCTTTACTTCCGTAAGGAACTCACTGCTAGTTACTTCTATAAATGCCAGAGTAGTGGTACAGTACGAATGACCGTAGAAAGGATTTTATGATTAACCACAACGGAAGTAATATGCACCGTCCGGGAATCGAACCCAGGTCGTCCGATTCACTGTCCAACTCTCTATCACAGACTTTTCTTAGAGATAAATATAGCTCTGTGGCTCAGATCAAATTAGGGTATTTCAAAATTGACTAAATCAACGAAAAGGGTAGTACTTGGGTCTGCCAATAGACTTGAAGTAATCATATTAAGGTTGTGAGGCTAGAAAATAGTTCTATAGAAATTTGATATGCCCAAATAGAAGTTAATCCAAGTTTGATGGTCATATTTTAATATTATTATTTTTTTTTGCATCTGTGTAGTTTCTGTGTTTTATCTAGTAATATTACAAGTTGTTTGCGTTAATTTTTCAGGACCTCATTTCTGGGCGGAAGGATATTAACTATGAACATCAGCAGACAGGATTTTTAAACTGGTCAATACAAATTGAAATCCTCTGAAGCACAAAGATGACTAACATAGTACATTTTCGGTGTAGTTTCCTTAAATAGTGTTTAATTTTAAAGTTGAAAACGATATATTTTTCAACATGGATTTTGGAGTCCAGAGTTTAGCCTTAAATATGGCTGATTTACTATAAAATATAGAGGATGAGCATTGAGTGAGACGACTTCAAAATATTTTTGATGGTATTATTTAAATATTATTATATAATACTGAGCTAGTCAATCGATAAAATTAAACAAAACAAAACAAAAAAGAGCATTTTTATAAAAAATAATATTTCATGAAGTTTGTAAGCGCATTTTACTAAAATCATATATACATGTATGATATTTACCAATCGACAATAAAACTAAAATGTCCCGAAATAAGCCGATAATGCTTACTAAATATATAAGTTTTGGATTAACATGATTGAACTTGAACGGTGGTAGGTTTCATGTATACATCGGTATAATAGATGGTCTTTATTAACCCTGTAACAATGGCTGTGTTAGTATGTAATGGCATACCATCAAGGCTATGCAGATAGTTATCGGACTTAATTAAAGAATAAATTTGAATCTAAGTTAACAAACCGCTTGCCAGCAAGAACATGTTAGTTTAAGCTTGTAATGGAATTAAAGAGAACATGTGAGTCAATTTGAATAATAATTGTTCAGTACTGTATTGATCTTCCGACTTAAATTCTTTTGTCATTAAATAAACATCATTCAGTTATGTATATTTTCGTTAAATTTACTTTATACTTTACGTTGCTTATTGTATATGCAGCTACATGTTCTCTCTTTATATCTGTCAGATACATCGATAAAGGTTTACAGCATGTTGCTAAGGTTACCAACAGCTAATACCAAATTTATAAAAAACGAAACTACATAAATATTAAAGGATTTTAAGAATTGTTTCAAGGTTAAAAGGTTTTTTATTAAAACAAACTATATATTTTTCAATGGAATATCATGACAGGAAGTGTAAAAAGGTAAATTATTTTGTAAAAGGTACTTATTTTGTAAATAGCCCGTGGTTAAGTTTTATAATACCTATCAAATTCGCAATCTTCCACAAAACAACATTTGGCAGTTCAACAGAACAGGTTTATACAAATATTTTGTTTACGATTTAATAGTTTTGTACAGTATCGAATATCCTTGAATTTATCTTAACATAAAATAAGCTGTACGATATGTTTATTGGTTAAATATATTATATTTTATATTTGCAGAACATCGATCATGGCTGTTTTAAGAAGACGCAAATTATTACTAGTCATTTGTACGGCATTTATCCTCGTTGTCATGGCAACTTTTGTCTTATACAGTAAGTTGGTCTTCATTAGACTTAACAAAGTGAAACTATATTTAATATGGACATCTTATAAATATATCTCATTACTTAAGTAATAACATCTATCATTTTCCATAGGATTTTCAATTAATATAAGTACGCTTGTATACATCATTTCTTAGAGATACTACAATTTATATATTATAGAAATGATTTCGTCATTATTACCAATTTCCAATTCTTATATTCTTCGCTGAGAACGAAGCGACAATTTCAGACTACAGCAAATTGTACTAGATTTTTATTTGTGTTTGTCTACGTACCTGGCTTATAATCATTACCCATAATCTAATTATTAATAAGTATTTATGATAGTCCTCTATAAGCGTAATTAATTAAAGGACAAAACAGGCATTTGATATCTTTCTGCACCAGTAAAGGTGAAAAGTCACCGTATGATTTTTACAGCGTCGCCTTGACTTGAAATCCAACAAAACAAAACAAATTAAACAATGTATAATATGTTTTAAGAAATATATCTGTGCATTATAGATACTAATCAAGACCAAAGATTATATGCAATAGAAGATGGTAAGAGTTTACACAATAACGTATACCATAATATCCGCAGTGAGGACAGGAAAGGGGACCTCTTTGACCAGTTGTTGAGTAGAGATTTTCTGCAATATGACGATGTAAGTACATAGATACTTGTTTTTTGCATACAATATGTAATTGACATGAACTTGCACTGTTTTTTTGAAAGTACATTTTTTTTTGCAATCAAGTTAATAATGAAATAATACAATTAAGCGATGAGTAACCATCCTCTTAATCTATATACATGTACTGATTGAAAGATAGTGTCTGTTATTATCCTGATTAAACATTATTTTATTTGCAAACAGGTATTCTGTATACCCAGGGTCTTTGTACTTTATTAGTCTCCTTATATTTTGTGCATACATACGCTTGAAGTACCTTAATTCTTACTTAAATTCAACAATTTTTTTTTAAAAGTCAGTATGGAAACGAAAGCCATATCCGGGGACTGAAGAATCCTTTGCATCTTAACATAATGAGTTCTTATTAATTGATGGCGATTAATGGCGATAAACTTGTGTAATAATTCAGTACCATATTATGAAAAATCACATTTTCCGGCGTTACCGCGAAGCACTATTCAAGTACATCGGCGTTACCTCATAAAAACAAATTGAATCACATTTTAGGAGCTTATTTTTAATTTTCGGTGTAACCAGAAGTTTAGTAAATGTCACTTGCGTACCAAAACTTGAAATTACACGGTATTATATGCGTTGTTGTACTTACAAGAGTCGACGAAAAGCCAAAATCGCACTCAAAACGGTGGCAAAGCCATAATTTTCACCAATGATCTTGAAGAGTAAACAATACCGTGGGAATAATCTTGATGAGGGTTAAAGAATAATGTCTTTGCAGTCGTATGCGGCTAGTCTTTTTTTTCAGTTTGGTTAAATAAAAAATGTATTGGCCAGTCTACTTACCCCGTTGGAAATCATGCTGGGTATCCGCCATTCATTGCACAATTCTTTCTGCGTTACTTTATGCACGAATCGTGCTTATTTTCACATTTCGGCGTCACTGGATATGGAGACGAAATTCACGAGCATATACTGATTTCGCTTTTTTTTTTTATCTCAAAAGCGTACTTGTTTGTAAATTTCAGACGCATGTGTCAAGTGTTGAGGAGAAGATGGTGATAAGAAAAAAGCAAGTAGAGACAGTATGTGCAATGATGAAAGAAAACAATGTTTCTCCGCCAAACCAGCTCCTTTTTCGTCATGAAGATCTCAAACATTTAATTGTTGATGATAACCACCAGATTTTATATTGCTTTCTACCAAAAGTTGCCAACACAAACTTCCGCCGTGTTTTTCTTGGTTTACAAGGAGTAGTGCCGAAATCAAATGTCGGAAACATCAGTGGATATGAAATATATTTCAAATACGATAAAACGTTTAAATATTTGAAATCATTTAAACCCCCTGATCAGTCAACATTACTACGAACTTACAAAAAATTCATCATTGTAAGAGATCCGTTGGAACGTCTTCTATCTGGATACAGAAATAAATTCTTTCATCCTAATAAAGGACATAAGGCAGAGTATCATGACAGAGTCACCGCATTTTACAGAAATCACCCCCACCTTATTCGCAGAAACAATGTTCGGACAGATTTCCGCTCTGGTGAACTTTCTTTCAGAGAATTTCTTTTATACATGACTGATGTGTATGAAGTCAATGAATATCTAAACGAGCATTTTGTGCCATCAAACCAGCTTTGTAACCCGTGTAACATACGTTATGACTATGTTGGGAAATACGAGTCATTAGAGACCGATGTTAAATATATTTTTGACCATTTAAACATAGATATTGACTTTCCGGGAAGGAATGACAACTATTCTTCTATTTCAACAAGTTCATTGGTAGAGGAGTATTATAAACCCATCCCTGAATGGTTACTACACAAAACATGGGATATTATCAAATTTGATTCTTTACTATTTGGTTTTCATTTACCGAAATGGTTCAGAGACAAGTTAAATGGAATTTGATATTTTGTCATTGTTTTAGAAAGCATAAAGACAGGACAAGTATGCTGGAGTTTTAACAAAATATAAAAATAGACGAGATGATGTTTACTTATTTTGCTTACGTTTTTATACATTTTTACCATACTATATCCACATATTTACAGTAATTACTGAATAAAGATTTAACAGAACAAATGCAGTCGTTTTTGATAAGAATAATTTTGCACATAATATTTGCAAACAAAAACCCTCAACATTCTTTAAGGCTTAATATACTTATTCCATTATTGTACTCGAGCAAGCCAACACACCTTTATAAAATCTGACTTGTTCTATATTTATTGTTTTGAAATGTTAGCGCGTGTAAAGAGAACATGAAATTCATGATCGGAACAAACTGATACTGATTTTATTTACTAAATTTCTTTGCAAGTCATATTATTGGGATAATAATAATTTCAAGCGCGTGAACTTTGTCGATTTTGCACAAAGACAACTTTACCATAATAATGCAAATGTGCACAAAAATCTTTCAATAATGAATGCAAATTACAAGGACAAAAAGATCAAACAGATAATTTCATACATTTGTATTGATTTTGATATTTTAATTTTTGTCGATGCATAAAGAAATCACAGGCACTTATCCATTATTATCTATACCACGCGCCAACAGTTACGGTGCGCGGTCTTATATTATACTAAACTTCTTCCGGACAACAACAACAAAAACAAATATCTCGATTCTTTTTTTTTTAATTTAAAAGATAAATGTTAATAAATGTCCGATTGAACCATGGCTGTAATTAAAGCCGTAATTGAACAGAAATCCTGGTACGACAAAATTCAACTGAACATACTGTAAAGTATAATAAAATCAACTGGAATTCAGTTTCAGTTTAAACCAGTGCGGTAAATTGTATCCGAACATTAAAAAGTCATATTTCAATATATGCCAAATCTTTTTAATTAATGGTTCAGGAATTGTTTCGAAATATTCCTCAAGTATGTCATCTGTAGTTAAACTCATATTAAAGCTGTCCGTTGAAAATGACGGGACTTGTAATCTATTCTTCTCAAATATGAATTCAACATCACTTTGTAATGTTTCGAGTTTTGCAATAAAGTCATACGGCACACCGCATGGATTACACAGATAGAAATACGGCACGAAATGCTCAGTGACATACGACTTTATATCAAAGGTGTCCGTCCAGTATGTCAGGAAGTTCTCAAATGAAAGGGACTTGGATGCATAGACTAAAGATTCTGAAAATTCTCTTTTGATTTGTGGATTATCGGAATAAAATTTTAAAACTTTGCTGTAAAAAATTTGCCGTTCTGATTCAAGAGATCGATTATCAAATTTAGTAAGATAGGTAGAAAGTAGTCTAACAAGTGGATGTCTCACTATTATAATCTTTTTATAATTCCACACTATTTCTTCAACTAGGTTGTCCTTCACGTTTTTCAGATAGAAGAATTTGTTGTTATTGTTTTCCAAATCGTCGTTCTCATCAACCATATCTTTATTATTTTCATCAGCTTGTTCCGCATCGTTCAACCAGATTTGAATTTTTGAGTCTTTTGGCAGATAACAATATAAGAGTTTCTGCTGTAAATTGACAAGTAAATTTTGAAGATATTCGTTGCGATAAAGACGTATAAGCGCTGGATCAACCAATGGTTTTTCGTGCAGTGCGGAACAAACTCTTTTCATTAAGTCTTTCCTGGCCAACATAAGTGTATCTTTGTCCTGAAATAAAAAACAAATAAGAAGTTTACACGTGTGCGTACTTGTATGGTGATTGCGATGAAAATAATTGATATTAGAATTTAAAAAAAAAAACATAAAGAAACTATTACCAAATAGTTTATCTCATACCTAACAAATAACTGAATGCATTTACATACTCGTGCAATCAATCGATACTGCTTGAACAGTTTATACATGATGAATGTGCTCATTCTAAAGCCTATTCATCAGAAAGATATAATTCCTTCGGTTCTGACGCATTGTATATATTTTATATTTTATATATTTTATAAATTGTATATATAATAAGACAGTGAGGATCATATCACTCATGTTGATTGCTCAAACTTGTCATGCGGGCTAGTAGTAATACAACTCGAGCCATACAACACGCCAAAATAACATATTCACGCAATATTTCCCATTTTTTCATGATTAAAAACTGTTAAGATACATTTCGATAACTTAGGTGACCTACAAACATGCAATTGTATACAATGTACACCCTCAAAATATATATCAATTTCCTTAGCAGCGGCTATTATTACAGTTCTTCATAAATTAGGCCTGTTTAACTAACGATCACTGTCAGATGCGCGGACGCCATGATACGTGGTTGATCTAATAAATATTTCAACAAGCACCAGGGCCTACGTTTACAAGTTGGTTAAATTACACAAATGAACCTGAAAATGCAAATTCTTTATAATCCTAGCTACCTACATAGCGAATAAGAAGCCATTTCACCGAAATGAAAACCTAAAAAAATTTATCCAAATATGCTTGAAAGGAGGGTTTTATTATTTTTAAAAAATAATTTTCAATAATGTTTAAAATATCTTGGCAGAAATTATAGATCTACAAACAAAAGCTTCATATTCTACCATTTAATCTAAAAAGGTATATGAGAATCTAATGTAAAGAAAACAGATAAAAAGTACCTGCGTTTGCCTCATGTATGAATCATTCAAAAGTCCAACATGTCGGAGATTTTCGAATATTCCACCGCTGCTATAGTAACTAGGTGCTTGTATTTTACCATGTTTAGTCTCTAAATAAGAAATATGTACATGGAAATGATTAAATAAAAACGTTTACTGAAATACGACCTGGTTTTCGTTTATGTGACCTTTTTGTATACTATAGTCCGAAACTGAAGGTTCTTAAAACTATATTGTACAGTTTAACAGATCGTTTTTATTATGAAATACATGTATGACATCTGCGATAAATAATATATATACAAACAACACATCAGAGTAGACGACGCGATAACTTGAATAACCAATCTACTGAAAATGATTGGAAAAATGATAAAAAAAAGAAAAGAATAATAAGTGTAAAGTGCGTTTATCATTGAGGACTTGCTCCTGCAACTTTTGAACGCACGAACACTGCAACTAAATCCATTCTAAATAAATTTAATTAATTAATTAATCTATTTCATTTAAATAAAACATTGGAAACCATTCTAGCATTAACTCGCATGTTTCGATTGGAAATAACATGTCAAAATCTAGGTCACAAATTATTGTTCACATGCATTATGCGTAAAAAGGGTAATTTTATTGAAATTCGTAGAGGCAGAATATATGTAATATTAGAGTGAAATTTTAAGATATTTGAAAATATTTCTTACTAAATGTAGTAAATGAACACACACGTCTTTTACGATTCTTGAAATCCAAAATATGAAATCTGACACAGAATAAAACAACACATATAAAGGAAATATGTATTGGGTGTCGCCCCTTGATTGCATTAAAGACACGTAAATCTTTTGATCATCCCTCGTAGATTATAGACACATAAATATATTCTATAAAATATTAAATTATTATATTTAAAAACAAATCAAACTAAAGTCGACAAACCTAAGTTATTTATTCCAAATGTAGTCAGTATCAGCACTAATGTTATGATGAAAAAATAATATCGGCATGTATTTAATTTATGTGCAAACACTTTTGTTGTCATTCTCCGTTATATTCTATTTCAAGTTTCGTTTAAAATACTCTTTAATATTTTTAGCATAATAATTAATACAAAATAAAAACGAATACGTCATATAATGTCTCGGGGGCTATTGCGAAATGTTAAAATTAATTTAGTTGTGAATGATAACAATCAGAGGTCTTCAATATTGTACTGTGCACGATATTTTAATGAAAAACAAATAATCAAATCATTATTTAGGGAGATATACATTAGAATACGGAAAAAATCATGTACTTTTTCAGTCTACTCTAAATTTTTTGCTGATTAGAGTGAAACTAGTTTCCATGAAAGCTCGAATGTGGAGAAATGTTTGAAATCAATTCAAACCATTCTCACTAGTCCGGCATTTGGAACAGACAAGTACTGGTGTCACGTGACGAAACATGGTAGTGATGCCGGTTAGACTTAAACACATGCTCCTTGAGTTAAAAGTTGTCACATATTTATTATTATTATAATTAGTTTTTTTCATTAAATTTGTGTTTTCTTGGAAAATTCTTCATGTTCTGTACGGCACACTTTTATGCTACATATTGTACTGTTCTGCACCGCACTGTACTACACTGTATGGCACTGTACTGCACTGCACTGTATACTGCATTGCTCTTTACCATTTATTGTATTGTACTATAAGTTTATTGTATTGTACTTTTAAATGACTTTGAATTATTTTTACAAAGGGATATAAATAGTGGTTTGACTATAAACGATATTGTTTTGATTTTGTTACTGTTCGCTAATGATATGGTAATTTTAGGAAATACACCAGATGATATAAATAGAAGTTTGACGTTATTGAATGATTATTGTAAAAAATGGAGCTTAGAAGTAAATATTGATAAAACCAAAGTTGTTGTTTTCAGAAGACGTGGAGGTTTAAAAAACAATGAATTATTTATTACGAAGGGAAACATTTAGATATTGTCGATAGCTTCAATTACTTAGGAACAATTATTAACTTATACTGGTAGTTTTAGTTTAAATCAAGAACATTTGATTGGTAAAGCTCATAAAGCTCTAAATGTACTATTGATTAATTGTAATAGATATCAGTTAAAACCTAAAGTGTTATGTCAGCTTTTTGACTTCTTTTGTTGGTTCAATTTTAAATTACGCTGCTGAAATCTGGGGTTTTTACTAAATCAAAGGAAATTGAAAAGACTTCATCTTAAATTTTGTAAAAAAATATTAAATGTAAAAGTTAATTCATGTAATGTTGCTGTGTATGGTGAACTAAGCAGTGGGGGGGGGGGGGGCGTTATCCTTTATATATTTCAAGATATGTTAAGATTTTAAGATTCTGGTTTAAAATGCTTGAGACAGATAATATCATTCTTAAAAATGTATATAGCATTGCTCTTGAAGACTGTAATAATGGTAAGACAAATTGGTTATCAAATCTTAAATTGTTATTATGTAATCATGGTTTTAGTGATATTTGGGATTTTCCAGATTCCGTAAATAGTAAAATATTTTTACCAATATTTAAACAAAGGTAATTGATTGTTTTTTACAAGTTGGCTTTCTGGTAAAGAGAGCAGTCCTGTTTTGTATCTGTATAAAATCATGTTAAAGATTCTTTTGTATATGAAAATTATCTTGATATAATACCAAGTACTTTAAGGAAGTATCTTACAAGAATTAGAATATCTTCGCATTCATTACATGTGCAAACTGGTAGGTTTCATAGAAATAGAATTGTTAGAAATGAAAGATATTGTTTATATTGTAATCTACATGACGTCGAAGATGAATACCATTTTCATTTTAATTTGTCTTGTTATATTGATATAAGAAAAAAATATAAAAAGATACTATTATACTAGATCTAGTATACTTAAATTCCTTGATATGCTGAAATCAAACAATAGAAGTATACTTTTAAATTCATTCTTGTATGTAAGAGATGTGATGCCTCATAGAAATACCTTAGATATAGTAGATACAACTAAATATATTAATAATTCATCCTCTATATTGATATGAAAGAGACATGTTTAGATCCGATCTTGTGATTTATGTTAGTATGTATTGTAAAATTGTTTATTTATGTATGACGATGTATGATTGTACAAGTCAAAAATAAAGTATCTGTTCTGTTCTGTTCTGTTCTATAAAAATTCCCAACCATGCAATAAGTAAACCAAAGTACGTATAAGTCGAACCAGGTACGTATATTGTTAATATACATACCTGGTCGAACACGATAACGTCGTACCATTATGATTATGATATAATTAGTTTAGCAAATTATTCAATTATCATATTTTGCAACAAAGAAGAATAGTTTTAAGTGGATATGGAATCGAATTTCCGAGTAGCTTTGTTGTTAGATAGTTCAAATAATGAAGACCTCGTGTAATGGAATTGATTTTTCGAGTTCAAATCTGCAATTGTGCACATTTTAGTATGGTTTTCATTTTCAGAATATATTTTTAAAATGTGTCAAGTAACTTTCTCACGTTATTTTCTATTTATAAGCCTATAATTTATTTAATGTTTTTCACAACATTTAAAGTTAGGCTTATGACGATTTAGCAAATTGAATGTATTTAATTTTCACTGTCATTGAACAGATTGACAGTATTATCAGTTTTATTCTGTTTGAAACTCTGAAGGCCATATCATTAAAATCTATATATTCTTCCATTGCTCATTTTATATCACTCTTATCACGACTATGTTGTCTTTATTTAACTAAACCTGTTGAATGCGAATGTGCGTAAAACTAAATGTTCTAAAATAGTATTCTGTGAATGAAATTCATGAGAAATTGTAAAAAATCTAAAAACAAAAAAGGAAAGAAAAAAAGCTTTTTCCAAGATTCGTACCAGGGTCTTTACACTCACAAAGCAAACTGTCTACCACTATTACGTTGGGGTAATTGTTAAGCCGTATAAAGATTTAGGCGATAAACAGTATGCTTTTCTATAAGTATTATCGACATCTCTTTTTGTCAATATTGATGTTAACAATGCGAATTCCTGCGCACCTGCAAAATGGACATTTTTGTAGGCTCGAAGATAAAATATATTTATTTATTGAATATCAAAAAGTAATGTAGTGCACCTAAGACTGGCCTTCATACGTGATATAATATATAAAATCGTTTAAAGTTTTACTAAAAGTTTTACTGTCTGGTTTAACTTTAAACCTGAAAACGCGGTAAATTGTGTTTGAGTGGGAGCATTTATACTTTATCCCATTTTCAGGACTCAACTTGGCAGTATAACTTTAAACTTTTAAAAAAATTAACCCAAGTTCTAAAGCCGACCTTCGGTGCGCTACATTATTTTATTGATAAAAATTATTTTAACAATTTCTTAGATTACCTTCGAGTCGACGGGAGGTTTACAAAAAAGGTTTGCAGGTGCGCGATGACGTAGTATCCTACCATTGTTGTCGCTTGTCATATAATATTGTGTGCAATGATCACACACGGATTCGAATGATTTGGGGCATGATATACCCTTAACGCGGCGACAAAATTTGTTACTTTACACTAATATAAACGACTACTACAAATGTACGTTGAAGGTTAAGTTTTAAATGCGTTAGGGAGGAAAATAGCTATAACGAGGAAAAGAAGAGTTTTGCATTTTACAAATTATTGTCTTTGGAGAAAAAAGATACATTCTCTGATAGGTAAAATGGCAACTAGTGATCAAATCATTGAACAACTTTCGAATGATAAACTAGATTTAGAGGCTACAAAGAATGCTACAATGAATGTATTGAGCGAGTTCATGGAAAAAAAGGAATTGGCAGTTAATTCTGTTAGAGACCACAAAGCAGAATTAGTGACTGAGCTCAGCAAGCTTGAAAAAGAATCAATTCGCCAAATTGATGAAGAATACGGAAATACTGAAAGAAATTTGCAAAATGCCATTAAAGAGGCAGAGGGAAATATTAATGAGCTAGTACAATTTAAAGAAAAGCTTGAATTTTTAAATGAAATCAAAGTTCAAAGTTGTCTAGCTATCAAAATGGCTCAGAAGGCTATTGCTAAAGCCAAAAACTCCAAAGAATTATTACAGGAGCTTTCTGATGTAAAGGTACAGACTTTCCATGGTGAGTTCAAACTTAAGAATTACATTCAACAAACCAAATCATTGGGACATTTATGTGTTGAAGAGGAAGTTAAAGAGCTCTATACGGTAAACGAGCAGAGAGATGTTGATATCAAGATATCGACGGATAAAAAGACCTGTCGAATATTTGGTACTTGCCTAACCGACAATGGCTGTTTGCTTCTTGCAGATTGTAATAATAAAAATATAAAACGAATAGACGTTACTACAGAAAAAGTAAAAGACCATTTATGTTTGGAAGCAGCACCAAATGCAGTTTGTCAAACAAGTAGAGATGAAGCAGCAGTAAGTCTTTCAAACAATAACATTCAGTTTATATCGCTGGCAAACGAGATGACAGCAACGAGATCGCTTGAAATGGATCACTATTGTAGTGGACTGGCATATAATGATGGAGAACTATTCATGACTAACGGATCAAGTACCATTTGTATGCTTGACAGGGAAAATACCTATATACAAAAGAGGTTAAACTGGAAAGTCAGGAGAATCAGTTTTCAGTAAAACAAGGCATATGTGTTTGAGCACAAACAAAGACTTCATGTATGTGGCTGATATGGACAAAGGTCTAATAACTCTCGAAAAAGCAAGGGTCGTATGTGTCTAGTTTCAATGATCCTGATTTGATTGATGCGAGAGCGGTTTGTACAGATGGCAAAGGAACAATGTTTGCATGTGGATTTAAATCACCGTGTATTATTCAGATCAGAGAAGATTCAGAAAGAAAATTGGGCATTCTAAAATCAAAACCCGAGCATCTCTCGATTTGTTTTGACCCAAATCAGAATAGACTGTATGTTACATATGACGGTTGTGATTCAATCGAAGTTTTTGATCTGAAGTAATGTATCTAATTCTCTATTCATATTTCATTTTGTTTATTGACTTCATCTAACATTCATGAACGTGTACATATTGCAATAAAATGGACGCACAATCTATGTCCTCGGCAGCAAACATTACTAAATAT